CGGCAGCATGCTGTAGGAAACCCACAAGCACAGAATTTGGGTTTGATGAGGGAAGGAGGTTGCCAGGCTTTAGTGCGAGTCTTGGCCTTTGGTAACCAGAAGCCAAAGATAACAGCTGCTTCTATAGAGCACTCTCCCGCCACACACTGGGACACTTGGGAGGCTAAAATGCTTATTGGAGTGCTAAGCAATGCCTTCCCTCTAAGGGGTTTTGCATATGACAGACAGGAATTATTTTATCCAGCTTTCAGGTGCAGCTGTCTCTGGGGTGGAGCATAGCAACACCAAAGAGTCCCTTTGGAACAGTAAGAGACTTTGTCTTATTTGAAACCTAGGTCTGACCTCCTCCAGCCACGGGGGTGCCCTACCCAGCAAGCCCCAAGCTCCATCTCTGCTTTCAAGGCTGAACTACCGCTGAGGTTAAGACTCTGTGGGCTTACCTAGAGATGCTGTGTACAGCTCTGGGATCTTCCAGCACCTGGGTCTCTGTTTGACCTGTGGGTAGAAACAGATCAGCTTGTGCTGGTAATGTTCTTGCGCTGTTTATTCATGACGTTAATTTGGAAGTAACCAATATGGATCTGGCAGGTGATAAATAAGGTCAGGAGAAAGTTGGGGCTGAGCCTGGGTGGCGCTGGCTCTGTGCTAATGCCTTGGTTGGGGTGCAGGGGCACGATGGGTCTCTCCTGCACTCCCAGTGCAAAGAGTACAGGGCAGCTGCTCTGCTCTAGGGCAGGTGCTTGGGGTAAGAGAATTGAGAGGTCACGGCCTCTGTTCAGGCAGCTTGGGAAGAAAAGCCAGGATGGAGACAGCTTGATGCTTAGCTGATGGGCTTGATCAGCACCAACTAAACTAGCATGGCTTATTATCTGGATGATCCAGGGATGCCCAAACTTTGGTGCATCAAGGCTGTGTTAGCCAGGAGCCTTTTGGTTGTGTATTGTTGGCACATGGCTCTAAACAGGCTGGTTATCAGTTGCACAGGGCCACAATATTGATTTCTTTTTGTGCCTTCCTAGGTGGCTGGAATAACATTTTGCTTGATTTCAGCAGCAAAGAGCACTGGTCTGCCAGCATGGTCTCTGCCCTACGGTTACAGGGGAGTATGGCTGCAGTCCACATTTTATAGGCTCCATTTTGTCTCAGCCTTGCTTTACTCCCTTTATTAGCATAATGAATCCAAGATATGTGATATAGGGAGCCAGGAAAGATGGGTCTGAGTCTCACCTCTGCCATGGTCTCCCTGTGTGATCATGGCCTGGTCACTTTCTCTTCCTGGCTCTT